AAACAGCAAACAGTGGGAATGATTCCTTTGTTCCTCTGAGCATGTCCTGAGGGGTGGGAGGAGGGAGGACCAGGGAAAGGCTGGTCCTGTAAGCTCTGGTGCCGGGCTTCCTGGGTTTGCATCCTGCCTCTACTCTTTTCATAATCGTGTGGCCCTGGGCCCATGACTTTAAGTCTCAGTTTTCACCTGTTAAATGGAAGGAATAGGGACAACCACTCCTCACAGGATTGTTATGGAAGTAGCAAATGTGAAGAGATGGGGGCAGTGCCTATGCCTAGTAGGTGAAAAATAAACATCTGCTATGGGCAATATTATGTTCATGCCTACATACAGTAGGTGCACAATAAACACCTGCTATTGGTAATGTCACGTTCATGCCTTATATAGTAGGTGCCCAATAAACGTCTGCTACTGGTAATGTCACGTTCATGCCTTATACAGTAGGTGCACAATAAATCTGCTACTTGCCGTGTTCATGCCTGTATACAGTAGGTACACAATAAACATCTGCTATTGGTAATGCCATGTTCACACCTGTGTACAGCAGGTGCGCAATAAACATCTGCTATTGGTAATACCACGTTCATGCCTGTATACAGCAGGTACACAATAAACATCTGCTATTGGTAATACCACGTTCATGCCTGTATACAGCAGGTACACAATAAACATCTGCTATTGGTAATACCATGTTCATGCCTGTATACAGTAGGTGCACAATCAGCATCTGCTATAGGTAATACTATGTTCATGCCAGTTCCTGCTGGTGGCCTCTGAAGGCAGCCATCACCACAATCCTTGCCAGGACCATTACCTGGTAACAGCACCATCTCTTGGACCCTCTTGGACTCTGCTCAGCACTCTCTTTTTCTTTTCCTTTTTTTGAGACAGGGTCTCATTCTGTTGCCCAGGCTGGAGTGCAGTGGCACAATCTTGGCTCACTGCTGCCTCAACCTCCCTGGCCTAAGCAATGCTGCCGCTTCAGCCTCCCAGATAGCTGGGACTACAGGCGTGTGCCACCATGCCTGGCTAAGTTTTTAATTTTTGTGTAGAGATGGAAGTCTCACTCTGTTGTCCCAGGCTGGAGTGCAGTGGCACAATCTTGGCTCACTGCCACATAACTTTCCTGGCTCAAGCAATCCTCCCCAAGTAGCTGGGACTACAGGAGTGTGCCACCCTGCCTGGCTAATTTTTACTATTTTTTGTAGAGATGGAGGTCTCACTCTGTTGTCCAGGCTAGTCTTGAACTCCTGGGCTCAAGTGATCCTCCCACTTTGGCCTCTCAGAGTGCTGTGATTACAGGCGTGAGCCACCACCACACCGGGCTGCTTTTCTAAATCCTGATCCGTCCTCCTTCAGGGCACACATTCTCAGGGAGCTTTTTTTTTTTTTTTCTGAGATGGAGTTCCACTCTGTCACCAGGCTGGAGTGCAGTGGCACGATCTTGATTCACTGCAACCTCCGCCTCCCAGGTTCAAGTGATTCTCCTGCCTCAACCTCCCGAGTAGCTGGGACTACAGGCTCGAGCCACCATGCCCTGCTAATTTTTGTATTTTTAGTAGAGACAGGGTTTTACCATGTTGGCCAAGATGGTCTTGATCCCTTGACCTTGTGATCCTCCTGCCTCGGCCTCCCAAAGGCAGCCCTTTCTCTGGCTCCTGATTCCTGGGTCTTCTGAGACCCTCTGTCCCTCCCAGAAGGTCTTATCTGGGTTCCTTTCTGCACAGGTCTTGCCTCCCCACCTTTTTCCCAGAGACCAGGCCTACGTCTGGTGTCTGCGTGGGACCAGCCACAGCTCCACCCCTGCACACCCGGGGCCTTCGTTTCCTTCTCTGGGTTTGCCAGTGAGACCAACACCAGCGAGCGGCAGGTCAGGGGCTGGGAGAGGGGCTTTGAAATCCACTGTGGAATTTTCGTGATCAAATGGCTGACTCAGCAATAATAATGGTAATGATAATGATAATATGGTAGCGAGCATATGCCGCTACCCCAACTTGCCTTCCATGCCCTGGAAACCTCAGTGCTGACAGCCCTGGGCTGTGAGCAGCTGCAATCTTCATCCGGCTTTACAGATGTCAAGGCTGGACCGGTGACAGTCAGCTGTTTGCCCGTGCCACTCCACTAGCAATCTCAGAGGTGAGATTCTAACCCCGCTGTGTGCTCTTAATCCCTGTGTGACCCTAGGAGGAGGAAGTCCCAGGAGGAGGAAGCTGGTGGCTCAGGTGACAAGTATAAAGTCAGCTTGAAGCCTGTCTCCTGCCCTGGGGCCAGCATGTCACTGAAGGCTGTGGGCTGGTTCTCTGGCCCCCCGTGTACTATCCCCAATAATCATGAGGTGACCAGGTTTCCCTGCTGCTGAGCATGGAATAGGCTGGTCAGGCAGAGGCTCTCCCTGCCTTGCCCACTGAAGAAAGATCAAGCTCCTTGGGCTGAGGATGGAGAAATGAGAGAGGCGGACACAGAAGGGGCGGCAGGGAGCAGAGGTGACCAGAAGACGCTGTGCTGGGTGCCAGAGGCAGACGGGGTTGGGGGAAGAGGCACACTGCACAGGAGGAAGACACACAGGCTCTGGACCCAGGCCCTGTAAGCCCCCTGCCCTGCCATCACCAGCCATATGACTGTGGATGTGCTATCTTTCCTCTCTGTGTCTGTCGGCTCATCTGTGAAAGGGGAGGATAACCACACGCCTTGCAGTGTCCATGTGAGTGTTCAGTGAATGGACATACACGAGGCTCTGAGAACTCTGCCTGCAAGCCCCAGAAGTACACACCGTCACTCCCACAGCGAGTGCCTGTGAGCACACACCTGTACCTGCATCATCAGACAGGAGAGCGCGGTCCCCTGCCCCGGAAGTATACACCGTCACTCCCACAGCATGTGCCTGTGGGCACACACCGTCACTCCCACAGCGCGTGACTGTGGGCACACACCTGTACCTGCATCATCAGACAGAAGAGCGGGGTGCCCTGCCCCTCCCTCCCTCTGCATGGAAGTCACTCCTGAGCCCCTGGCCTCTGCCTCCCTGATGGTGGCCAAAGGCAATGCTGGTGAGCGAGCCTCACCCTAAGGAGCAGACCCCAGGCCCACAAGCTGCTCCCCATGCCAGAGCCTGAGAAAGCAGCCTCTGTGGCCTCCTGTGCCTCCCTCTGCCTCCCTTCTGGGTTGTCCCCTTCCTGCCAAACTGTTTGTCTGTGGCAGGCATGGGGAGGCTCAGTTCATCTAACATGAAGGGGAGCCAGGTCAAGAAGGCAGGGCAGGGGGATCTGGACAGGCAGGGCAGGGGAGGGCTGGGCCGAGTAGGCAGGTCATGGGGATCTGGGTGGGACAGGTGGGGCAAGGGGGAGCTGGGTAGGCAGGGTGGTTGGGGACAGGCAGGGTAGGGGGAGCTGGGCAGGCAGAGTAGGGGAAGTCGGGCATCGAGGGCAGCTAGAAGCCCTAGATCCCCATCTAGCCTGGCCCAAAGAACCCTGGAGGCTCCTTTCATCACAGAAAGGAAGTGATGTGTGTGCTCGGGAGGTAACAGTGAGCAACCACTGGGGAAGACCAAAGCGGGGGTGGGGGCCCAAGCATCTAGATTCAAATCCAGGCTTGGACACTCTGGTCTCTTAACTTGGGCTTGGAGGCAGCATCTGGGAAGAGACCCATTCACCCGCCTATCGCTTCCCACTGTTCAAACAAGGAGCCTCGAGTTGAACACCCTGTGACAAGGGCTGTGACCAAGATGCCCACACAAGGCAGAAAACAGAGGTGAGAGGGGCATTCAGCTTGAGGCTGGAGTGCAGTGGTGCAATCCTGGCTCACTGCAGCCTCCACCTCCCGGATTTCAGTGATTCTATGCCTCAGCCTCCTGAGTAGCTGGGACTAGAGGTGTACACCACGAAGCCCGGCTAATTTTTGTAATTTTAGTAGAAGGGCTTTTGGCCAGGCTGTTCTCAAATTCTTATCCTCAAGCAATCTACCCACCTGGGTCTCCCAAAGTGCTGGAATTACAGGCATGGGCCACTGTGCCTGCCCAGGGGACTGACTCTTTGTTAAGTTTTGGTGTCCTCTTTGGCACGTCATACCACAGATACCAGAGAGATACATGGTGAAACAAATTTCTCAGTTATCTGACCCATAAACTCCTACTCACCCCACAGAGCCCAGTGCATATGTCACTTCCTCTGCGAAGGCTTCTAAGACTCCCTCCCTATAGGAAGAACTTCCTGCTGCCTCACTGGGGCTCCGCAGCTCTCTCTTCACACTTTTATTATGGTGTTGGTAACGGTCAGCTATGCATGCTATTGATGATGCTTGCTACGTGCCAGGCACCAGCCTGAGTGCGTGGCCTTCATCAAGTCATAGAATCCTTATTGTAGCTTTGAAAGGTCCGGCACAATCACCATTCTGCAGAGAGGAAACTGAGGCTCTGAGAGTTCAGTGAGACACATAAGGGCATGAAAAGGAGGAGCCTGGATCTGAGCCCTCTTGACTCCCCGGTCCACGCTGTCCTGACTGTGCTAATCTGTCTAGGCCTGTTTGCCCAGGAGACGTGGAGCTCCCCCTCTGGGGCTATGCTGGTTTTATTTCAGTGCCTAGGTCTGGCTGAACACATCAAAGGTGTCCCTATCTGTGCTTGGGGATTCAAGAGAAAGACCCTGTGAAGGTAGCCAGCCAGCAGGGGAGGTGGGAGCTGGTGTGTCGGGAGGGGAGGGGAGGGCAGGGCTGGTGTGTCGGGAGGGGAGAGGGGGCAGAGCTGGTGTTTCGGGAGGGGAAGTGGAGCAGGGCTAGTGTGTCGGGAGGGAAGAGGGGGCAGGGCTGATGTGTCAGGAGGGGAAGGGGGTGGGGCTGGTGTGTCAGGAGGGGAGGGGAGGGGATGGGAGGGCTGGAGTGTGGAGAGGGGAGGGGAGGCAGGGCTGGGTGTCAGGAGGGGAGGGGAGGGGATGGGAGGGGAGGGGAGGGGAGGGAGGCAGGCTGGTGTGTTGGGAGGGGAGGGGAGGGGAAGGCAGGGTGGCACTGACCTTGCGGTGCTGCTCATAGTTGCGGATGAAGTCACGGAGCTGCTCCTCGCGACTCTCCAGCGTGGCATACAGCTGTTGCATCTGGCTCACCAGGTCTGTCTTCTCGCCCTTTAAGCGCTTCCGGTCAGCTTTCATGGCTGGGGATGAAGAAGAGAGTTAGTTCCCAAGATCCTGGCTGTCCCCTCCTGATGCCTGAAATGCTGAGAAGTGGCATCACTGCTGTTGTCTTTGTAACAGGTGAGAAAACAGGGCTCAGAAGGATGAAGCGTTCCTCCCATGCGCCCCTGCCACTTGGTGGCAATCCTGGATTCCAAGCCAGGCTCACCTATGTTGAGAGTCCTGATTCTCACCTCTCGGCTATGTGGATCTGACCAGGGAGCAAGTCCTTGTTTAAACTGCTTTCCCAGCCATAAACTGGCTGAGTCTTCAATGCTGGAGAACTAAGGCCTGGTGGACTCCAGAGGCCCCTGGCTCAGAAAGCAGACCGGGCCTCAGTTCCCAGCCAAAAGGAACCCCAGGGCCACCCTAAGCCCAGCGGAACCACTTAGCCCAGCCCAACTGCCCCTCCTGCCTCACTCCTTCTGAGGGGAGAATTATTATGCTAAAAACACACACCAAGACATGATACCAAAAGTGTGAGCAACAAAAAAAAATACAGATATTTTGACCTCATCAAAATTAAAAACTTTTGTGTTTCAAAGTATATCATCAAGAAAGTAAAGGACAACCCACAGAATGGGAGAAAATATCTGCAAATCCTGTATCTGATAAGGGGCTTCTATCTGAAACATACAAGTCTCTCTTACGACTTGATAATAAAAGCCCAGGAAGCCATTTAAAAAACGGGCAGGTTAGGTGTGGTGCTCATGCCTGTAATGCCGGCACTTTGGGGGGTCAAGGTGGGTGGATCACTTGAGATCAGGAGCCCGAGACCAGCCTGCCCAACATGGTGAAATCCCCTCTCTACTAAAAATACCACAAATTAGCTGGGTGTGGTGGTGCGTGCCTGTAATCCCAGCAACTCGGGAGGCTGAGGCAGAATCACTTGAACCTCGGAGGCAGAGGTTGCAGTGAGCTGAGATGGCTCCACTGCACTCCAGCCTGGGCGACAGAGTGAGACTCTCACAAACAAACAAAATGGGCAAAGGATCTGAACAGACACTTCTCCAAGAAATAGCCAATAGGCACATGAGAAAACTCGCAATCAACTGTCATCAGGGAAATGCAAATCAAAACCGCAGTGAAACAGCACTTCACACTCACCTCAAAGCTGCAGTGAAACACCACTTCACACTCACCTCAAAGCTGCAGTGAAACAGCACTTCACACTCACCTCGAAACTGCAGTGAAACATCACTTCACACTCACCTCAAAACTGCAGTGAAACAGCACTTCACTCTCACCTCAAAGCTGCAGTGAAACACCACTTCACACTCACCTTAAAGCTGCAGTGAAACAGCACTTCACACTCACCTTAAAGCTGCAGTGAAACAGCACTTCACACTCACCTCAAAGCTGCAGTGAAACAGCACTTCACACTCACCTCAAAGCTGCAGTGAAACAGCACTTCACACTCACCTCAAAGCTGCAGTGAAACAGCACTTCACACTCACCTCAAAGCTGCAGTGAAACACCACTTCACACTCACCTTGAAACTGCAAACACCACTTCACACTCACCTCAAAACTGCAGTGAAACAGCACTTCACACTCACCTCAAAGCTGCAGTGAAACAGCACTTCACACTCACCTCAAAGCTGCAGTGAAACAGCACTTCACACTCACCTCAAAGCTGCAGTGAAACAGCACTTCACACTCACCTCAAAACTGCAGTGAAACAGCACTTAACACTCACCTCAAAACCGCAGTGAAACACCACTTCACACTCACCTCAAAGCTGCAGTGAAACAGCACTTCACACTCACCTCAAAGCGGCAGTGAAACAGCACTTCACACTCACCTCAAAGCTGCAGTGAAACAGCACTTCACACTCACCTCAAAGCGGCAGTGAAACAGCACTTCACACTCACCTCAAAGCGGCAGTGAAACAGCACTTCACACTCACCTCGAAACTGCAGTGAAACACCACTTCACACTCACCTCAAAACCGCAGTGAAACACCACTTCACAATCACCTCAAAACTGCAGTGAAACACCACTTCACACTCACCTCAAAGCTGCAGTGAAACAGCACTTCACACTCACCTCAAAGCGGCAGTGAAACAGCACTTCACACTCACCTCAAAGCTGCAGTTAAACAGCACTTCATACTCACCTCAAAACTGCAGTGAAACACCACACTCACCTCAAAACTGCAGTGAAACACCACTTCACACTCACCTCAAAACCGCAGTGAAACACCACTTCACAATCACCTCAAAACCGCAGTGAAACACCACTTCACACTCACCTTAAAGCTGCAGTGAAACAGCACTTCACACTCACCTCAAAGCTGCAGTGAAACAGCACTTCACAATCACCTCAAAACCGCAGTGAAACACCACTTCACACTCACCTTAAAGCTGCAGTGAAACAGCACTTCACACTCACCTCAAAGCTGCAGTGAAACAGCACTTCACACTCACCTCAAAACCGCAGTGAAACAGCACTTCACACTCACCTCAAAGCTGCAGTGAAACACCACTTCACACTCACCTTAAAGCTGCAGTGAAACAGCACTTCACACTCACCTCAAAGCTGCAGTGAAACAGCACTTCACACTCACCTCAAAACCGCAGTGAAACAGCACTTCACACTCACCTCAAAGCTGCAGTGAAACACCACACTCACCTCAAAACTGCAGTGAAACACCACTTCACACTCACCTCAAAACCGCAGTGAAACACCACTTCACAATCACCTCAAAACCTCAGTGAAACACCACTTCACACTCACCTCAAAACCACAGTGAAACACCACTTCACATTCACTTCGAAACCACAGTGAAACACCACTTCACACTCACCTCAAAACCACAGTGAAACAGCACTTCACATTCACTTCGAAACCACAGTGAAACACACTTCACATTCACTTCGAAACCACAGTGAAACACACTTCACACTCACTACAACAGCGAAAAATAGAAAACAGACAATAGTCAGGGTTGGTGGGACATGGAGAATCTGGAATCCTCAGGTACTGCTGGTGAGAATGTGAAATGGCGCAGCTGCTTTTGGAAGAGTTGGATAGCTCCTCCAAAGATTAAACGCCAAATTCCCATGTGACCCTGTGATTCTATTCCTAGGTGTATATCCAAGAGCTATGAAAACTAAGTCTACACAAAAACATAGATGCTAATGTTTACAGCATTTTCACCAGTGCCCAAAAGGTGAAAACAACTCGAAAGTCCACCAGTGGAGGAATAAATAAGCAAAATGAGATGTATCCACGCAATGGAATACTACTTAATAGTGAATAAAAACAAGGACAGCCATCCCTCAGTATCCATGGATATGGGCTCCAGGACTCCCTGTGGACACCAAAATCCACAGCTGCTCAAGTCCGTTATAGAAAATGGAACAGTATTTGCACACAATACCCCCCACTCCGTATACTTTCAATTACCTCTAGATCACTTACAATGGCGAGTAAAATATCAATGCCACAGGAATAGTTGTTATACTGTATTGTTTTGGGAATAATGACTAGCAAAAAAATCTGTACATGTTCAGCATACATACAACCATTCATTTTCTTTTCCTGAGTTTTCTTTCTTTCTTATTTTTTTTTAGACAGCGTCTTGTTCTGTTGCCCAGATTGGAGTACAGTGGCGCAATCTTGGCTCACTGCAACCTTCACCTCCTGGGTTCAAGTGATTCTCCTGCCTCAGCCTCCTGACTAGCTGGGATTATAGGTGCATACTACCACGCCTGGCTAATTTTTGTATTTTTAGTAGAGATGGGCTTTCACCATGTTGGCCAGGCTGGTCTCAAACTCCTGACCTTAAGTCATCTGCCTGCCTTGGCCTCCCAAAGTGCTGGGATTAGAGGCATGAGCCACAGCGCCTGGTCCCTAAGTATTTTGATCCACGGTTCATTGAATCCATAGATATGAAACCCATGGATAAAGAGGCCAACTGCACTGATACTTGCAACAACATGGATGAAACTTGAAAACATGCTGAGTGAAAAAGGCCAGGCACTAAAGGCCATGTATTATGTGATTCAATTGATAAGAAATGCCCACAGTGGGGTAATCTACAGAGACAGAAAGGAGATGAGCAGCTGCCTCGGGCTGGGTGTGGGGTGGACGGGGATGGAGGGGTGGGAGCTACGAGTGTAGGATTTCTTTTGAGTTGATAAAAATGTTCTAATATTGGTTGTTGTGATGGATGCATAACTCTGTGAACATACTAAAAACCACTACACACTCTAAATGGGTGAATTGTATGGTATGTGAATTACATGTCAGTAAAGCTGTTAAAAAAACAAAACAAAATAAGGCTGGGTGCATTGGCTCATACTTGTAATCCCAGCACCCTGGGATCTTCCAGGAGGACTGCTTGAGCCCACGAGTTCGAGACCAGCCTGGGCGTCATGGTGAGATCTTGTCTTTACAAAAAATAATAATTTACAAAAGGAGCTGATTGTCGTGGTGCACGCCTGTGGTCCCAGCTACCTGGGAGGCTGGGGTGGGAGAACTGCTTGCGCACAGGAGGTAGAGGCGCACGCCTGTGGTCCCAGCTACCTGGGAGCCTGAGGTGGGAGAACTGCTTGCGCACAGGAGGTCGAGGCGCACGCCTGTGGTCCCAGCTACCTGGGAGGCTGGGGTGGGAGAACTGCTTGCGCACAGGAGGTCGAGGCGCACGCCTGTGGTCCCAGCTACCTGGGAGGCTGGGGTGGGAGAACTGCTTGCGCACAGGAGGTCGAGGCTGCAGAGAGCCATGTTCATGCTACTGCACCCCAGCCTGGGTAATAGAGAAAGATCCAGTCTCTAAAGCCAAACCAAACATGCACAACACAATAAAACACATGGTCTCCCACATCCGGAACACCCCCTGCAAGCAGCATGCTCTGCCCCCTCCAGACTCTTCCACACAGTGCTGGCTCCTTGGTGAATGGAATGGGTTAAGGGCAGCCTCTGACTGTAGGGCGGGCTCCACAGCCTTTGCTCAGACCCTTAGCACTCCATCCTTT